ATATCTTCCCTGCCATAAGAGACCATATCCCTTTGAAATGTAGCCAAAAGCAAGCCCTTCCTTATCTTGCTTTTATCAGGTTTATTTTTGTAATGAAGAAAAAAGTGACTCCACAGCAACCAGGTCTTGGGACCTTTGTTACTCGGACCCTATGGCTTTCCCACCAAAACTCCATTGATATAACTTGTGGTTTTTGGTGTGTGTGTGGGGGGGTGGGAGGTGCGTGCATGTTTGTGCTACAGCATGAGTACACACATCCCTGTGAAGACTGCTTTGATAACAATGGGAAAGCATAGGGATTGATTATATCATACTCCAAAATCAAGTACCCTAAAGTGAAATCTAGGCTATGCCACAGAGACAAAGACGGGTAAGTCTTGGAAAAGTCTGGAAAAAGAATCTAGACGCACCACATAACCAATCCTTCAACAAATATAATTTCAGAAAATCTTGGCAGAAAACTACAATAGATGTGGAGAGATTGGAAAGTTAATTCCCAATTCATCTTGGCTTCAATTTTCTTTCTCTAGTAGAAATCCCATAACCCATTTTTATTACTTCTTTATAAATACCCTCATGACCTCATTTCTCTTTCCTTATACTTTATTCTCTCCACAAAACCCAAGTCTTGATGAACTCTCAGAGTCTCTTGTCTTGAAACTCACTGTAGCAAAATGCCCATGTTCCCTGACTGACCTCATGTATGAATTTGTGGTCTCATATTTGACATCAGCTATTTTACATCAGGTTTCATAAGCTACATAAGAACACACTCCCTAAAAGGCTCTCACTGATTTATTCGTCACAATCCCTTGATCTTCTCAGGACACTTTTCACCTGTGTCTGATTTTACCTGTCGCATTGCATAGTTCATTTTGCATGTGTAAGACCACAGTGAGACATTTCTACACCTTCATGACAAACACAAAATGGAGGCAGCATTCTCCACTTTTCTCCTTCCATTACAACAAATAATTGCCACAGTTGAGATCCATACACATACTTAGTAATATGCTATATGTAAAAACTTAATCCTTTGCAAGGTATCATGTAAGATTAACTGAGAATTCCTTTATGATATAAAATTCTGGGTTATATAATAGATACTCTGAATGTCTATTCACTCAGAGCTATAGCCATCCTATAATGAGAGCCGATCCGTAGTCTGTAAGGTTAAGATATCTTTATTCAGATAAACACCAGCCAAACGCAAGCCAGAGAGTGCCAGGGCAGCAAGGCAGCCAGGCCAGAGAGAGAAGGGCTCACATGTGCCTTGCAGCCCCTTAAAAAAACAATCATGTGTCATCCCGACCACACCTTGACCATTCCCTGACAGGCGTGGTCAGGCACACCTGTAGCGATCCCTTAGGAGGCGTGGTTACCGTGTCTCCCTACACCATCCTGTATTTATGTATACACAGATGGGATTATACATCCATATACACATTATATACCTACATAAATCATCTCTTTCCCCACAGCCCTCTCTCACCCATAGCCCTCATGCACAGGCACACAAAAATGAACCTAGTCCTTTATGGATGTACACACATAGAACCCAGAAAAAACATACAATCACACTTATATACAGAAGATGCACTATGTGAGTTATTGATCCTTTTTGTAGTACAGATCCAACCATTGTGTAACTCCCAAATGTGAACTGTATTTGAAGATGAGGTCATTAGAAAACTAGCTAGTATAACAGGAGGTCATATGCATGGGTGGGCTACAATTCAATAATCTTAGTACCTGAATAAGAAAACATGACAGGATAGATATCCATGGGAGAAAACCAGTATGAAAACAAAGCGATGATATATGGCCGCCCTCAGACAAAGCAGCAAGCTCTTAGAAAGGAATTTATCATGATCCAATCTTCGTTTTGTGTATCCTGCCTGTCATGTTTAAGGAAATAAGGTTCTAGTTTTTGGCTTTTTTTGGTATTTCTCACAGCAGCTCTAGCAAGGTAACATGCATATGTACAATCACTCTCCTCTTCTAAACACACACACTCACTCACTCTCTCTTCTCTCTCTCTCTCTCTCTCTCTCTCTCTCTCTCTCTCTCTCTCTCTCTCTCTCTCTCTCTCTCACACACACACACACACACACACACACACCTGCATATAAGTATCAAGCACAAGTATTACTTTTAAAAAAAGATTTTCTATTTCGTTTCTAGCCCACTTAGATGCCCACTACTTAATTGCATAGTGTGTCAGGGAGAGTATTCATTGTGACATGCCAATTGTTGCCTTTACTTCAAATTTAAAGCCTGCAGGGATGAAGGTCAGACTTCCAAGGGCTGAAATTTCAATTACTGTTTTCGATAATTGATTTGTGGCAAGAAGTGTCACTGTATCCACAAAAGAAATACTTCTCATTTCTAATAATGGTAACTGAAGAGTAGCTGATTTTTAAGCATCTATATTTGGGCTGCTTTTGCTATTAAACTATTAAAATGTGACAAAATATTTAAGAAAGAAAGCATTTAGATTTTTATGTAATAAACTGTATGTGTCTTAAAGTTAGCCAGACCTATTTTGTTCTCTAAAATAAATCTAGGGAAACAAGCCCAAAAATTTCAGACC